CCCCGCCCAGCTCAATAGCGCCGTGACGTCTGCCCGTCACCCGCGCACGGACAGACGCCAACGGCAGCGACATGGTAACGTCGCCGCAACCACCGCGTCTTATTCGCGAATAATGGTAATTATCATGTCTTGCTTGCCGTCTCCCCGTCGGCCAGCAGCGCATTATTTGGCAAACTTATTAAAAAGAAAATGTGAGCCTTGATAAAGGATCTCTTTGCTTCGCTTTTCGGCCTGAAAAAAAAAATTGTTGTTGGACCATTGACTTGCGACCCCGCTTGCGACTCTTCGGACGAACAGGTTTGAAGCCATCGGCAGCGTAAGAGTAAGGTAAAGACGCAGAGATTTGCTGGCAGTGAGGGTCACGTTTTCCTTTCATCTTCAAAAAGAGGTCTACCAATTTTGGAGCAATAAGGCATCAGGTTTGGCCACGTTCCTATAAGCGCCCACGTAGTTGGGTTATCTGGTGTCGAAACAAAATATTTTTGGAATAATCGGCGGTAATCTGTCCCGGGCAATCCCTTTATTGGCCATCTGTGGTTTAAGAGATCCCACCGCCTTGTTTGGCGAGCGCCAACGACACGCCATGTCGACCCCAAATTATTATTATTCAATCACGCAAAGCAAGAAAAATGACGATAAGGTGTAATTTTTCCGTCTTTGTTTTCCCATCCACTTTTGATCTCCCAAGGTGGTTGGTATTGGCGGTCCGTCCAGCAGCAGCGCGAGCGACATGGCGGCTCGCCGCGCCAGCCTCGTGTGGTTGTTATTAGCAGGGCAGGGCGTGGCGGGGCGTGGCGGGGCGTGGCGGGGCGTGGCGGGGCGCGGCGGGCGTGGTGGTGACGTCACGCCGGCAACCAATCACCGAGCTCGCGGCCGCGGCGCGGCGGGCGCGGCCGTCGGCGGCGGTGTGGTGGGGCCCGGCGGCGCCGCGGGTTCCTCCCGGCCGCCCGGCCCGCCGGCCCGCCCAGCCTCGCCGAGAGCTTGTTCTTTGTCCACACACAACACAAGCCACACCCACTTTTTCCAGTTGATTGAGCGTTGGCAGGCGATCGACTGGACGACTGATTGATTCCATGTCGGGCGTTTCATTCTGCCTGTCTGGGTTGTTAACAACGAGCGTGTGTCGGAATTGTGCCGTGCGGCCGTTGTCAAAATATGTCTCGGAGATGTTATTTGCGTGTCTGAGGTCGATGTTATGGATATTGGAAGGGGTTATTCAAGGAGAAAAAGATGGCAAAGCTTAGATATAATGGCCGTTTTTATTTACAGCATGTTTTTTTTTTCGCGTTCACATAAACGTAAGGGAGTTCTTTGGTTTCAATGACATTCTCTCTCCTGTTCATGATTCATTTAGGCTTATTGATTATGATACCTGGAAAGAGCTCCACACTTTCTCGATACGTACGATGACGTTCACAACATGATCTTTGTCAGTCACTGCCATTTTCATAGCTCTTGTACACTGCAAGAACATAAACCATGGTGCCCTTAAAATTAAGGGTATATCACAAAATAACAATCATATTCGCATAACGTAATGTTTAAATCGCTTTCTGGCTAAGAAAAGGGTTTTCGGAAATGTGTGTAGCTTCAGTGTCAATGATCTGGAAGCAAAGTCTGTAGGATTGAGTACATGCTGAATTTGTGCAGACCGGACTTTGATTTCAGTAACTTTTGACACTAAGATAACGGTTAAATAAACTGTACATAACAGAATGTTAGCTCAGTTACAATAAATAATATGACATTTAAAAAGGTTTTACAATAAATTTGAGTATCGCACTTGCACCACGGCGCGTAGAGAAGAGATTCAAACGTCTTACGTCATGCTACAAGGAATATTAACCGCGGATCATTTTCGATCCAGCTCATATTGCACGAAATAGTATTTATAATTTACATCAAGATCAGTTCCATTCCACACAACTAGTAGGAAGACTTAACATTTACTAACCACTCAACCACTCCAGCACCGTCATCAATATTAACGAGCAATTTACACTGTTGTTTTTCGGGGCAACCTGATCACCAGTTAGTATTTTGTATGTACTTGACTGGGTGCACCCTTGGAACATTTCCCAAATTGTAATACTGCGATGTGATATATGTACACACTTTCGACCCTATAATTCACATACATAATACTTTACATAAAGCTTATCCGTTGATATTTTTTTTCGCTGTACAGTTTATACAAAGATTCTAGCAAACGATTCATCGACCTCTTTCCACTCTGAGTGAGAACCTTTGCTTACCTATACAATGAAATAAATAAGATGCTTTTAACGAAGCTGTACACCGCGGTGGACGTGACATACACGCACTTAACAAAAAATAATAGGGAAAGTACTGCTAAAACCAAATACAATGTAACAAATGAGAATTCAAAAACCGCGCCTAACAAACCCCAAAACTAACACGATCACAATGAAGACACATTGCACTTCCGCAATGGATTATAATAATAGTAATAATAATAATCAATAATAATAATAAAATATTAAACAATAATAACTCATCTTGTAAGCATGAGAAATGCATCTGAACAATCCTTTTACTGACTTTCAGGACAAGAATACGAAAAAAAGAAACATTAATTTCTAGCTCCAGCAAAAAAACAAAAAAAAATTACCGATGCTTCTTTTGTGATATGTGATATAAAGCACCGATTCATATCTACTTCTCACACTTACAAAATATGAACATATAACAAGACTTTCTGACAAAAATAGCAAAGAGGCGCTGCCCTCGGCTACGCGAGTCTTATGAGGATAGGTAACTGGGCCGAGTAGCGATGGGTACGGCAGCTTCAGCCAAACCCAACAACCAAACCAAACATGCGCCATATTTTTATATATTTTTTTCAAACATTTTAATGAATTTCTTACTATCAAGTGGAATCAACGTTGCAAAACAAAGACTTAAAAAAAACAAACGAAGTTACCCATTCTACACGCCAGCCACCGGCGAAAAAGTGCGTTTCCAACTTTCTTTGGCAATCACCGCGCTACATAACGTCCCAAGCACTAGGAACTTGGACAGGCCCCGCGACACACACAGGCCGGCGCACATTGGAATGCTCACATATCACAGCACACACGCTCGCTCGCACGTCAAGTCCTGGGGTCCGACACGGCCGGCGGCGACAGGGGCTTGGGGGCGGGCGCGCCGGGGTTGTGGCCGTAGGGGAACCGCTGCATGGGGCTCATGCCGGGGAAGATGGGCCTGGGCAGGCGCAGGTCGCGCAGCTCGAGGGGCGGTGGCCCGCCCGAGGACGGCGACGGCGAGCTGCAGGCCGACGTGGTGGTGGTGGGCGGCGGGGACGGCCGCTGCGGCGGGGGCTGGGGGCCGCCGTGGGGCGGCGGGGGCCCCAGGAGGCCGGCGGGCAGCCCGGGCATGCCGCCCTGCCAGCTGCCCGACGCGCCCGCCGCCGAGGCCCACAGGTGCGGCAGCGGCAGCGGCATGCGGCCGTACAGCTGCGGGGTGCCGCTGAGCAGCAGCGCGTGCAGCTCGGCCGGCGAGTAGGGGCCGCCGCCGGGGACGGCCCCGCCGCCCGCCTGCGCACGCCCCCACATCTGCAGCTGCGTGCGCGCCTTCTCCATGAGCGAGGCCGAGAAGAGCGACGCGTTGTTGTTCTCCGCGTCCAGCTCGGACAGCAGGCGCATGGGCGCGCGCAGGAAGTGCTGGTCCATGAACATGGCGTCCATCGGGTCCCTGCAACACAGAAAAAAAAACAACGACTTTTAATAAATGCAACTATTGAAATTAAAAGATAAATAAATCAGAAAACTTTTGCCCCTGTTAATCAGAAAAAAATTACAAAAGGTCGGGCAAAATAATTTTTAAAATGTCAAAAAATGTGTCGTGACATTTTCCTTTGGTTTTCGCCTTCCGCAAGTTAGAATTCTGCACCGATCTTGCTCTAGGAGGGGCACTATATACTCGGCCCACCGCAAGAGGCCATCACCAAATTGATGATTTTCTCGGAGTGGGCGAGATTGGGGCGGCCGAGCGAGGACCCCGGCGCCTGTTGAACCCCTGGGAGTAGAGCTGTTGCTCGGGCGTGGCGGGGCGTGGCGCCTTGGACACTAATTGTGACATCTTGAGTGTCGGGGGGGACAACAAGGGAGGCGGCCGGAGGCGGCGCGGGGGCGGGGAGGAGAAGGTAAGTCGCACAATCAATTTACTGATGAACACTGCTGCTCCCGCCGCCCCGGCCCTCGGAGACCTCACCCGCTGCCCCGCACGGCCCCCAGTCGGCTCCTTTTGTCACGACTTGCCCCTTTCTCAAAATGTAAGAAACTCCGGACGGTTCGGTTTGCTCTTAACTTGACTTTGGAAACCCTTTTCGAAAACCCGTGATTAGCGCGAGGGGCGTGGAACTGGCCAAAAAAGTGTACAGTGATTATGTCCAGACAATCGCTGTTTCAGATTGTGTGCGATTGAGTATGATTGTGTCGATGACAGCCTCTGACGACTGACGACTAGGAGGAAATCACTCGGGCACGTAGCGTACGGGCTTTTTCGCGGTTTACAAATATTGTAAAGAAATATTAGAGATTTGAGAATTTCTAGAGACTGTATGGATATATAATGTAGTTTATTGGTAGGCTCCCTTTTAGAACTTAAATTTGTCAATTGGGTCATTGTAATTCGCGATCAATCTCAAATGCCCTGTGAAAATACTTTTATTTCTACATTTTATTATAACATTGTTTAAAAAGTAGCACAAGGCGGGTGCGCGTGCTCTGCCTATGGCTATGTCGCCAGCAGCTCTGCCCTCGGCTCTGCCACTGGCTCAGCCCTTTGGCTCTGCACCCGCGGCTCTGCGCGCGGCTTTGCGGCCTGCCCGGTTCTGCCCGAGGGCCTTCACTGACAGTGTACACCACTAAAAAGAATCATTAAGAGAAATTGTCAATCATTACCAAAAAATCAAGAAAAAACTGGAAAAATCGTTTAAAAAGCATTTAAAAATCAGAAACGTTCGGAAACCTTTAACAATCT